AATGCATGTATGTATGGATTGTGATAAGAGCTGTAAAAGCCCCCAATAAAATTATTTAATAAAAAAAGAAATCAAAGGGATTTTTTCACTGCCATCAAGTCTATCCCAACTCTATAGGACTCTACAGAGGGCCTGTAGGACAGGGTAGAACTGCCCCCGTGGGTTTCTGAGGCTGTAACTCTTTACAGGATTAAAAAGTCTCCTCTCTCCCCCTCAGAGCAGCTCGTGGTTTTGAACTGCTGATCTTGTGACTGGTAACTCAACACATAACCATTACATCACCTGGGCTCCTCAAAGGGCATATTACGTTGGGCAAATCGGTTGCAAAAGTCTCCTTTAGCTTGTTAAAAGGCAAAGATGTCACTTTGGCGACTGAGGTATGCCTGACCCAAGCCAGGGTATTTTCACTTGCCTCACGCTTGCGAAAGCTGGACGCGAATACGGAAGACCAGGGAGGAAATGACGCATTTGAGTTATGGTGTAAAAGAATCCTGAATATGTGGGAGTGGGGAGGGAACACTAGAACGGATTGTGACTACACAGCTCATTGTAAAAGCGATTTAGCCACGGGGAGAAGAAAGTGCTAAACTTGATATGGTAATAATTGTACAATTCTCCCTGATATGATTGAACAATTGAATGACTGAATTGCATGATATGGAAATCATGTGCCAATAAAACTGTTTGGACAAAAAATAAAATTAAAAGAATGCAGGCTCAAGTACGGATTGTCAGAAGGTTCAACAACCCTCTCTTGGAAGAAATACAGCCAGAATGCTCCGAGAGGTGAGGATGGCAAGACTCTGTCTACATTCTTTAGACATGTTATCAAGAGAGACCAGTCCCTGGAGAAGGACGTCATACTTGGTAGGGGGTTCATGAAAAAGTGTTTTTTAAAAAGACCCTCAACGAGGCAGACTGACACTGGTTGTTATTCATTGATGGCTATGATTCAAGACAGACTGGAAGGCACTTAACCCCCCCCCCACCCCCCCCCGCCCTGTGGATGCAGGGCAGTTCTACTCTGTCACACGTGGGCCACCCCAGTCAATCAACTTAGCAGCAACTGGTTTGGCGGTAGACTCCTTGCCCTCCACGGGAGAGATGCGGGTTCGATTCCCAGTCAATGCACCACTAGTGGTTGCAGGCAGCAACCACTTGTCTGTCGGGGAAGGCTTGCTGGCTATTACCAGGTTTCAGCAGAGCTTCTGTGCTAAGACAGTCTGGAAAGGAAGGCTTGGTGATCGATCCCCTTCTGAGAAGTAGCCAAGGAAGCCCTATGGAGCCCAACGGTGGGACCACCAGCAGAACATGGGGCCGACACAGGAACGGGCAGCATGTCATTGTGTGGTCCATGGGGCCACTAGAGTAGAGGGCGAACCCAAGGTCATCGGACAACAGAATAGCAAGGCCCAAGGCCAGTTCAGTGGCATCTAACAAAGTCCAATGCTAGGGAGAAGACTTGATCAGCGAGCTCAGTGAGGACGTGATTGAGTCAGGTGACAATGCAGGGCTTACTTAGCTAGGGGTAGAGTAGGAGGTGCCCAGATCCTAAAGTCCCAACAGGCCTAGAGAGGCCTTTGGTAGAGAACTGGGTGAGGAGTTGGTCTGCAAATTGCTATCTGCTGTGGGAGCTCGGGCACAGCAAGGCACCAACCTCTCTGAACCTCAGGAGTCTGATGACTTGTGACATCAAAGGAAAGGATTAGACTGATCTGACTCCAAGACAAGGAGCCCTGGAAGGGCAGGGCTCGAGTGTTTGGCTGCTAACTGAAAGGTCAATGGTTCAAACCCACCGGCTGCTCTGTGGAAGGTAGCGGTGGCAGTCAGCTTCCATAAAGAGGGAGACCTTGGAAACCCCTGGGGGGCAGCTCTCCAACTCCAAGATGGAAGGTCGCAGGGTCCTTGTGCAGTTGAGGAAGCAGAGGGTGACCACAGCCATACCCTCACAGCAAAGCTAGGAGGGGAGAGGCAGAGGGAGGCAGGGAGGCATAGGCCCGAGGAGACTGAGGACTGGAGCAGAAGGGATTGGCTTTCTGTAGGCCCCAAGGTCCCTCCAGGATGTCTTGCTGACACTAATCTCTAGGCGGCCGCTCGGAGGGGGCCTGGTACACCCAGCGCCCTATCAACCCCTGGCAGGCCACCAGTTATCAGTGGCCCCCATGCAGCAGCATACTCTCTGAGCGTGCATCGTTCCTCACCCTGACTCTGCATGGGGGCCCCACTGTCCCCCTCCAGACCCAAAAGCCAAATCTGCTGCCCTCAATGTCAATTCTGACTCACAGTGACCCGAGAGGGCAGAACACAGTGGCCCCACAAGGTTTCCAAAGGTTGTCAGTCTTTCCGGAAACAGACTGCCCCATCTTTCTCCCTCAGAGTGACTGACTGGTGGGTGTGAGCCACCAGCCTGCTGATTAGCCGGTTAGCATGCTTTAAGAGTTGTGTCATCAGAGCCTCTACCGCAGTGGTTCTCGACCTTCCTCATGCCCGACCCTGTAATACATTCCCTCGTGTGGTGGTGACCCCCCCATCATAAAATTATTTTCGTTGCTACTTCATCACTGTCATTTTGCTACTGTTATGAATCGGGCAACCCTGTGAAAGGGTCATTCAACCCCCAAAGACCCACAGGTTGAGAATTGCTGCTCTACAGAGACATGCTACACACACACACACACACACACACACACACACACACACACACAGAAACACCTCAGGACAGGATAAACCCAGAGGACATTAGGCCGGCTGGAATAAGTCAGTCACAAAAGGGCATCCACGCTTGTAAAAAGTCAAGATTTTCATACTCAAAAAAAAAATCCCTTCTTTCGTAACTCCATGTTTTTGTGAACTCTGTGACGCCCTGTGGAGGGGCAAGATAAAGATAAGAGTCTGAGGGAGACGCAGGTAAGGGCCCCACAGCCAGGCAGGGCGCAGCGCTGCTGGTTTTCTGACTGTTAGCAATTCAGGCACCAGGCCAGGCCTGGCCTCCCAGGAATTCAACGCCTTTCAAGTCCAGTTTAGACTGGCTTCCCTGGAGCAGGGGAAGGAAGTGAGGACCAGGAAGCAGGATTCCAGGTGGGGAAAGATAATGTCAGAAATTCACACTGGGCAGCTCTATCCTGTCCCATAAGGAAGGACATCGACTTGGTGGCAGCGAGTTGGGCTCTTTGTTTGTATTATTAGCCGAAAGTTGAACCAGCTTGTGTGAGTCCAGCCACTCATCAAAAAGGCAAGGCTCTTAAAGAAGCTGACTGCCCCACCTGTCTTCCTCTGGAGGAACAGGCTGGAGGGTCCAAACCACCAAGACTGTTGTGGGCATTGAAACTGGTTCTAGGGTGAGCCCACACCTGGTGCAGAGCTTGGCTGGGATGTCCAGTGGCTTGGCCCAAGTTCCCCTCAAAGCTGGGCTCCGGCAGTTGGAAAGATTCCTATCGCCCACCTCTCTCCATGTAGGGCCCTGGGAGACTCACATGGCTATGAGGCGGGCCACGGTGGTCTTGAACCGGTCAAAGACGTAGCCAGCGGGGAAGGTCATGAAGTTGTTCATGAAAGAGGCCAGCATGAAGATGAGCAAGAACTTCTGGTCCTGGGCTTCGAACCCTGAGGAGAGGAAACAGGATCTCAGGCACCCTCCCTCCCAGCCATCCCCCTTCCTACCAGGTGGGTGCCCAGCTGGAAGGAGAGACAGCCTCTTCCATCCCCGACAGCTTGCCCAGTGAATGGGCCCATCACCCTCCCCATCCCAGCTCCTTTTCACAGGGTACCTGAGTGGTGCAGAGCTGGTGCTCAGTTACTAACTGAAAGGTTGGTGGTTCAAACACACCTAGAGGCTCTGAGGAAGCAAGGCCTGGAGATCTGCGCTTCCATAGATTAAGGCCAAGAGGACACTCTGAGGCTCAGTTCTGCACGGTGACACTTGGAAGCACAGCTGAGTCCTAATCAACTCAAGAGCTGAATCCCTCGGGACCTGGCACTAGCCTTCCCAGGCACCTCCTAGGCCGAGCCCCTCCCTCTCACCCTAAAAAGGATGGCAGGGAAAACGAGGGTGAAGCCCTTCGTCCCCCTGCCCACTGCCTGGAGCAAAAACAAAACTGGCTCATAGAGTTTCCAAGACTGCAATCCTTTTGTAACTTTGATGATTTGAGTGGAAGCTTATAAAGCACCTTGGTTTTCCATTCAACAATTCATACCCACTTTTTGACTTGTGACATTGATCGTGAACTTCACCATGTCACAGCCCTCTTCCTGGATTCCCTGTGTCCACTGGTCCTTCTTTCCTGTCCCTTCCAGCCTTCTGCGGTCTGTCCCAGAGCAAATGGTGTGTGTGCATGTGTGTGTCCCTGGTATTAATGTTCACCTGATGGCCCTGTCTCCTGTAGAAGTCCTGGTGGCGTAGTGGTTACCAGTTGGCCTGCTAGCTGCCAGGTCAGCAATTCGAAACCTCCAGCCTCTCCAAGGGACAGAGACAAGACTCAGATTTCTACTCCCATCAAGATTGAGCAGTCTCAGAAACTCATCCAGGGCACTTCTACCCTGTCCCATAGGGTCGCTGTGAATCAGCACTAACTCAATGACAGGCAGAGAGTTTGGTTTTTCGTTTGGATTGTTAGCTGAAAGTTGAACCAGCTGTGTGAGTCCAGCCGGTCATCATGAAGGCAAGGCTGTCATCTGTAAAGCAGCCGACTGCCATGCCTGTCTTCCTCAAGAGGAACAGGCTGGAAGGTCCAAACCACCAGCCTTTTGGTTAACCACTGCACCACCAAGGCTGCAGCCTCAGGTACTAGGGACAATTCCTCACCCCTACCTACCCTCGCCAGCCTGCTCCGTGGCATTGCCCGGGTCCAACGACTTAGCAGTGGTTTTATTCACGTCCTCAAAGTAGCCCTCCCTTTTGAAGACAAACACCAGCGAGGTCCAGCCGAAGAGAACACCGGCAAAGCCCAAGCATTCCAGCAGACCCGACAGCAAAGTGGCCACTCGAAGGGCCTGGCCTGACACCTCCATGGCTCCAGGTGATGTAGGCCCTTAAATTCCACTTCTTCCCACCTCCCGGAAGGACCACAAGAGCTGCGATTCTTGTCCTCTATGTGCTTGGAAAACTCCCTCTGGCGAGCCCTTTCCTGTGGGCAGCTCCGTGGCTCTGGCTACTTGAGGCTTGGGCAGGAGCCACTGGTGGACACTTGTCTGGATTCTGCAAAATAAGGAAGGCAGAGGCGGCTTGGAACAGGATTGTGGGGAAGATATAAGGGGATTGTGGGAAAGGTAGGGGATTGTGGGAAAAGAACAGGACAAAGGGGTCTTTGAGGGAACAGAAGGCCAGGCTGCTGGCCTCTCAGCTGGAGGAGGCCAGCCGTTAGAAACAGCTGCAAGAAGCATGCCCAAACGAGTGTCCATCACTGGCACCTGGTCGGGAAATACTTGCACACACAAGCTGGACAGCGGAGAACACAGTTCTGACAGGCAAGCTCAGGAAGACTGGGGGCGAAACAGATAGGTAGAGAGCTGGTCCGGTGCCTAGGAAGGCAGGTCTGACCGTGTATTTCCGAAACAAACAGCCACTGAATACCTTACAGAGCACAGCCCTTTTCTGAGGCAGGTGGGGTTGCCATGAGTCAGAATCAATAAGTAACTGTTCTGGTTTGGTTTGGACCAACCTCAGGTTACAGATCAGCTCATGGCTGACCCAGAGTGACTTGGGCAGCAGGTGACAAAACTGGAACTTTTGACTGCAACCCTTGAGGGCCGTCCTGTAAAATTAAAAACAACCAAACAGCCCCAACAGGCCCATCCAGGCTCCTGGGGAGCGGCGCATATGTTGTGCTAAATTCTCCCAAGAGGCTGACAGAGCGTTCGGTTGGATGGATTCGGTTTACTACACCCCCAAGAGTCCTCGTTCGGTACAATATTAACCTGCCCAAAGTCACCCAGGGCCCAAAGTCACGGCCAGGCCCTCCGGTTAAGGTCCAGAACTAGAGATCGCTGGGGACCGCCACCACCCAGGCCGAGCTCCCAGACCCATCAGCTTCCCGGGGGGCCAGTCCCGAGGCCGCCCCGCGCAGCAGTCCACGCCGGTCCCCCACCCAGACCCCCTGCCCGCGCGCGCTGGGGACCTCCGCCGCGCGCCCCGCCCGATCCTACCGCGCCGCCGCCGCCGCCGCTGCCGCTGCCGCCTTTTGAATTCGCGCCTCCGGCAGCTCGTTCCCACCAGTCCGGAAGGGGCCGCTCACTTCCTCCTGCAGCATGCCCCTCGGCCCTCTCCCACCGCCCCAGCACCCCTCGGGCCCCAGTCCCCCTCCCCCCACCTCCTACTCCCCTCGTCCCTGCCCCTCCTCTGCCGCCCCGCCCCACGGGTCCCCTAGTCCCCTCCCGCCAAGTGGACGCCATTCTCCCGCTTACCGTCGGATCCGCGCCGGGGTTCCCCCCGACCCCTCCCCGAGCCACGGAAACTGGAACCCCGAAAGCGGACTTTCCACCAGCCATCCTCCCTTCTTTTCACCCCCCAAGGACCCCCGCTGATTGATCGCTCCCTGCCGCGCCCCCAGGCCCTGCTCTGAGAGCTCCAGCCAGACCGCGCTGATTAAGTATTCATTCGTCGCCCCATTTTTTATTAATCAAAGACCCAGCTAATTGCCCCGCCGGCTTCTGATCTGCCGGAGCTGGCCGGTGTCACCAGCTGTGTGGCTCTCTGAGCCAGCGAGCCGGCATCTCTCTGGGCCGCAGAGGCCGGTTCCCCTCCTAAGCCCCCCTGCAGGGAGGGCTCTGTGACTAGGAGAGCCTGCAGACCCCCCGGGGACAGGAACTCAGCCCTTCCTAGCCCAGTCCTCTCCTTAAAAAGAAGCCATGGAGTCAGGAACTCAGTCACCCTGAGGGCCAGGAGTGGGCATCAGGCCGGCCCTGATTACACACTGATACCCGCACTCACCAGTCACTCAGCTGGAGGTATTTGCCTCACAGGTACCGTGAAGGCCAAGGCCCCAAACACCCAAGCCGGCTGCTGTTCAGTCCGTGTCACCGCAGGGCCACGCATGTCAAAGTGGAGCTGCCTCCGTGGGTGTGGCTTGGTACCTTTGCCTGAGGATTCTGACTCATAGCAACCCCAGAAAGAAGGACAGCCCCCGTGAAGTTTTCTAGACTGCTGTAGAAAACGGCCTGGTCTTCCTCCCACAGAGCCATTCAACCTTTCTGCGCGCAGCACTTACCCACTGCACCACCAAGCCTCTATACTGACCGTTTGTGGTTGGCGGGCGGCAGAGTAGAATGGCATTCCGGAGGGTGTCCACGGCTGTGACTGCAGGAGCAGATGGCCAGACCACTAAGCCTCTCTTCTGAGGCATCTGTGGCTGGTGTTGAACTGCCAACCTTCCCATTCTTGGCCACACACCCATTTGTACCGCGCAGGAACGCCTAGGAGCGGACAGGTCCAGGCTGCTTACGGTGCTGGGGACTCCATTTCACAGGGAGCCAGGGCCTCTAGCTTGGGTGGGGGCTGAACGCAAAGGAACTTGGCCAAGGTCACTGCCACAGCCAAGCATCGTATGTATGCACAGCGGAATAGTGGATTTCGGAGAAAAGAGATCTTTTTTTTTTCCCTAGAGAAAATTAATTGATGGAGAAAAAAAAGACTCTAAAAATATAACAGTCCAGGACAAGCAGAACTTAGATGCGAGATGTTCAAGATTTACTGCAAGACACTAAGACGCTGAAATGAATTCAAGCCCTCTCTCCTGCCCTGGCTTACATTTTGTTCTCCTGGAGACCTGAGGGGATCAGGTAGTGTGAAAGTAGCAAGGGAGGAACAGAACTCAGTCAAAGCAGAGAGAAAGGAGAGCTTTTGAATGTAAATCTGCAGGAGCCTTCTGAATAGCCCGCCTCTCCACCTCTCAGGCTACTGGGACAGGTCACCTAGGGCTCTGTCCACCTGCTCTTAGCCACTGGAGGCTCTCAGTGCCCGACCTCACACGTCATCAGTGTCTGCAGAAGGCCACGCCTCTAGTCACGCACCAGTCTGCCTGAAACTGTTGGGACAGAATATTAGAACACCCTCTGGACCAGCCTCTTCTTATTCTGTTCAAGTTCCGGCAGCTAGCCAAGGCCGGCGCCGTTCCAATCACTCACTCCGTGCCTCCCTCTGATGAGGATTAATGTGTAACATCAGAAGAGTTATTATAATGAGGCCTGAAGGCCTGCCCGAAGTCTTCGTTCCTCCCTCCTTCCCCTTCACCCTGCGTCATTTCGTATTGATCCATGCGCTCAACGAATATATGAGGAGCATCGAGCTCAGTGCCAAGTCCTGGGAGACAGAGAGAAGAGGTTCAAGTGCATCCCCTCAAGGAGCACGTTCTCTAGATGGGGAGAGAACAGACACAGACGCCCATGGTTTCTGGAGCACAGGGACAGTCTTCTAGACAGAGTCCAGCAGACCACACTCTAAGACATGGCACCATAACAGAGCAGAAACATTCAGGAAGCAGCCAGAACAAAGAGGTGAGACTTGAGACTGGAATGGTCGCCTAAGGGAAGGAGCTTGGACTTCAGCCCACATCAATCAATCGTGTCCTATTGATTCCACTCCTTAAGATCTCTCAGGTCCATCCTTGACCACTGCCCTATTCAGACATTCCACCTCTCTCTCACCCAGGCACTGTGTCCCTCGTTCCCAGCTACCCACCACCATCCTCCTGCATGGGTTTATTCCCTTGACTTCCAATGGATGGCACTCCAGAGGTGACCTTTAAAAGGACAATCGGCAGTCTGTCTTCCGAGGTGCCTCTGGGTGGGTGCCCACTGCCTGCCTTTCGACTTAATCGTTGGTCTCACCCAGGGACTCCTTAGAAGCAAGTGAGGGCTTCAGAAAGCTCATGGGAAAATTCCATTTTCTTTTCATTACATTTTCCCATGAGCTTTTTTTTTTTTTTTT